CAATCTATTAACTATGGTTATCGCAAGACTTATTATCTCTTAACATTTCATTATGCAGTTGCATACATTATTAATTTATACGACGACTAATCACTGATGCAGTTAAAAATTCATTTGTTAATTTTTCATAAATTCTGATAATATTATCTTAAAATAATTGGAATATATTCGAAAAATAGCAGGGACATTTTGTGAATGTAAACTAATTGGTGCGGAGCGAAAGCTAATAAATATTATAAGCTAGATTGGCTTTCATTAAATGATTTTGCCTTTAAAAGTTTGTCCAACATAATACGCATTAATTAAATTATGCAATGTTAAGCGACTGTATGAATGATGAAAATTGAAATGAGATGAAAGTTTGAAAAATCATATATATTCTTTATAAACAATATTATATGATCAAAATTTTAATGAAAATACGTAACAATATTATTATGGTGTTTGTAACTATATTTGGATAATTTTAATCGACGATTATCCAGTATTCAAAACTATTAAGGACGAAACACACTAAACGAGGACTGACAAAAACCAAATGCACTACGAATATATTCGTAAATATGCACCTTCAATATGTATATTTATGGGCATTAAAATAATTTACTACTCTTAATTATATTTTGTCAATATAAATTCTATAAATTATACTTATAAAATTTCTCAATAGATTTTATCATATATATATATATATATATATATATATATTGTATATTTATTCTATAGATTTATGTAAAGAATATCAAAAGTAAATTTTTAGGGATATCAAATCTAATAATCTTTTTTATTCACAATACCAAGATATCTTCAAATATAATAAATAGAAAAATTTTCTAAGTTACATAAAAATGAATTTAACATGTAAAAATAGAAGTAAATATTTTATTGAATGAATTTCGTTTTATTATTTAATTATGTAATTTGACGAAAATTTTCATTAATTTTAAATCATTTTTCTCGCTTATACTTCGACTCCAGACTCTATACCTTCACATAACAACAAAATAAAAATTAAAAGGCCTTTACCCAATATAAGATTTTCGACCGGTTGGACTACTTTTAAGCTGCTCATGGGTGCAAAATGCAATCTCTTGATAATTATGAATCATTCTCAATGTTATGGGCTATTCCAAAACGATCGCTTACATATTTCATCTATATATTTCACAATTATTTAATGCTAAATTGGTATATAATTATCAATTTGACTCTTTTCTTGCTATTGTAATTCAAAAAAAAAAAAAAAAAAGAACAATATAATAATATGAAAAAGTCTTTCATAATTGGAAAAACCAAATCTACCAAATCGATCAAATGTTTATTGTGGAAACGAAAAATTACAGACATATATCAAAAGGTCTTAATATTAAATTTAGCGGTTTTTTTTTTCCTTTTTCTTCTCTCACTTTTATGTATTATTATTATTATTATTATTATTATTGTTATTATTATTATTATTATTATTATTATTATTTTTTTTTTTTTTTTTTTTTGGTAACGTATACCGCCATTCATTTCTACAAATTTATTTACACGGAGATAGTATTTATACTTGGAGAACGACTTAAAATTTTTCTAATTAATAACTTACGTCAGAGACTACCAGAAATTTGAAAGTAAAATTAACGCGTATCAGTATACAAATCTGTTGGTTTTTTTCTTAATTTGATACAAAACAATTAGCCTCGAATCATTTAAAGATTTCTTACAGCCATATAGTATTCGATATAAAAACTATAAAGAATTAGCATGTTTTAATCCATCAACAGAAGCACGTGTGTTGAGCGCGAATGGATCGATAAACGTTGAACTTAACCTTGAAAAAAACCGGATATGGCGTTGTCGTTGACTGGTCATCATTTCCAAGCCTAAGAAGACTCGTCTATGAGAAATAATCATCGGATGAAATCGGAGATGAGCATGCGAGTACAATTTGAAGATCTTCCACTTTATTCATCGACGAAACGAATGTATAAGTGTTTGATTATGCTTCGTAAAATTCTGTAATCCTACGATGAACTTAAGATTAGCTATGAAAGAGCCTCTTTATAGTTAAAAATTCGAGATTCTACGAATTCGTTCATTTTTCATGCTTTATATTTTTGTTCCACCACGAATAGTGGAAGCGTATTATGTCTCTATCATTTTTGCTAAAAGCACGAAGGCATCGATTATTCTCTCCACGCCTTTTTTTTATTGTTGTAAAGTCTTCAATTTATTTTACTCGGTACTACTGATCAACGGGCGTGAAAGTGAACATATTTTTCAACATTTATTTAGTTCTCTTATTCAGAGATTAAAAGAAAAGATTTTTTTTTTTTTTTTTTTTTTTTTTTTTAATTTTTTAAAACACTCAGTTAAAATTCAGTTAAAACTCAGTTAAAATTCAGTCTGTGAGGGCATTTCTTCAACTGAAATTCATCCAAATTCATGCATATTTTATATGCATAAAATATAAATATACCCTAAAGGAGTGTTGAAATAATTATTAAATATTAATTTAACGGATTTTTTTTGCTCGAGATGTATCTAAATTTAAATTCTATTTTGAAATTTGAATAATATAGAAAACCATTGCTTATTCTTATTGAAAACATGTTACGAAAGACTAAACAGTCATAATGATCATAATGTAATTAATTAGCTTTTAATATGATAATACGAACGAAAAAACGAATAATTACAAAATTACAATTATTCGAAAATTTTATTTATGTATTTTTATGATTGTTTAATAATGTTTCAATATGATATTTAAGGTGGATTTTCATTTTATAAAAATTACACCATTAATAAGTATTATTTCAAGCACTTTTGTAATCTTAAAGTCAAGGAAGCAGACATCTGATCTACATAATCTATCAATTTAATTCTTAGTTTAATATCGATCACATATTTTTTTTGTTATAATGAATAATTAACGATTAACATGTATAAAAACACACGCAACAACAACAAAAATATACGTAGGTATCTGTGAATAAATTTTATCTATGATCAAATCAATAACTAAAACTCAATGTATCGTTCACGATTACTTAAAGATAAAAACATAATTTAATAAGCATATAAATATAGCATAATTTAATAAGCAATAAATAAACATAATTAAGATAAAAACATAATTTAATGAGCATACGTATTATTATTATTTTGAGACGAAATGTTATTATAATTATTATAAAATTTTACCGTTAATCCGTGGATAATGCAAATCAATAACGGGATTAATAGTGAATCATAAATTTTATGTTTATTAGATAAATATATCTTAATTGGAAATATAGGAAATTATCATTTTACGCAGTAAAGGTGTGTTTGCACGTATTGTCTTAATATTATTTAGTATATTACTGTTAAGTATTGATAAATGTATTTTCGCTTGATATAATGAATTTATGTCAAAATTATTAATAATTTGTATATTATGTTATTTTTAAAAGGCTGAGGCAAAAGAACTAAAAATTTATTATAGTAATACAGTTTAATAATATTTTTTCACAATTTCGTGATTGTTTATGTTTTTCTTTTTATGAAGCAAATTATTAGATCAACTCGATAAGTAAAATGATTCTTAATTGTATATTTAATGTAAAGTTTCTTTCTTTGATATATATAGAAATCGGACATTAGTGACATTAAAGAGTGTTTCAAAATTTAAAAACTATATTGTAATTTCATAAACTAGTCATTGATATTTCAGATGCTATTATCTTAGAAAGGTCGGGCATTAACATTAAATTAATAAAGAATGTTTTTATTTTCAAAATATTTACGGTCTCTACAAATAATGGAAATTTTTAACATTTTAACCAATTAGATAAATTTATAATGTCTATTTTGACACTTTGACCTGATGTTTATAGTTGCATAAAGCAAAAAATCAAATTTAAAATCAAATTTATTTAGAAAAAAGAAAAAAAAAAAAAAGAAGTATGATAAGCACGAGGCATTTTCCTTATATGCAACGAACGACTATCCGCGTTTATCATAGCCGAGGCTCGTGAAGCATAAAATCTAAATTGTCGATTATGAAGAGAAATTATCTCGATCAACTAGCGCGTCTATTATATTCGACCGTGTGTCATGAAAATTATTCATCCAAAATATACGAACCATTCGCATCCATATGTATTTACATTTACATTTTTATACAAATAAATAATTGTACTCGCATTATTCATAAAACTGTCGATTCAATTTTTTTAACCGTCAAAGACAATTTTAAAGATTTCAATGCAGATACTCAAGTATACATTTTCTTTTATTTTTTCTTAATTTATTTAGAAGATAAGCATAGTAATCGGAATTTTCAATAAAACGAATGACGCAAATAATGAGATTGTATTATTACGTGTCATTTGAACTCTGTTTAAAGTGTTGAAAATGAAAAAATGTCGGAAACTACAAACTAGATGGACTATCACAAAATTATGGCTGGACTAGTAAGCCAACAGTAAATTCGAATGGAAATTTGTCGTTATTGTTGGTATTGAAAAATAAAATAAAATTGCAAACATATAATTAACATTATCGTCGCAATCGGATGAAAAAGAAACCTGCTATTGAGCAAAAACAAAAAGTATCGGCAAAGACAAAATGCTCACATATCCGTTTAAAAGGCATTGACTGCCGGTTGAATGGGAAAGTGAATTGCTTGGAAAAGCGGTGATAATACGTCCCGCGAATCGCGATCCTGGCGAGTTTCCATCTCGTCGACACACGAGTCCACGCTCATCGTCGAGTCCGTGACCGCGCGGCCTTGACACTGTGTCGGACGGCGTCTAGTCGACATAGTCGCACCGATTTTCCCAACTCGCGGTACCACCACGATCTTTTCCTCAAGTCATGGTAATCGTCGACTTTGGTTACACGAATCTGCTTGAGAAACGTATGAGAGGGGGGGGGGGCGTGGGAGGGAGGGAAAGAATGATTGCGTGCGGGGGAGGGCGGGGGAGGGGGGGAGAAGGGATGAACGGAGACGGCCACTAGGTCATAACTTGCGAGGCGATCGCGTCGCCAACCTCTCGTATAAAAAGATGGTGTCCAGTCGGGGAGCCGACAGTCTTACTTTACTGTCCGGGCCGAAAACTGTAGGACTGACAGTCTGAGAGTACGAAATCGAATTTTCTCTCACTTCGCGTAACAGTGCCCCGACGACATGAGGAACTTCTTCAAGTGCTTAGTGCCCGTGGTGGTGCTCCTGGCTCTTTTGAACCTCACCTCGGCCCGACCTGGTAAGTTTTGTTACTTCTCGTTTTCCCGGTGATTACATCGATAGCATTTAATGTTTTTAGCCCATTGTTTGAGCTCTCAATGTATGCTTTTTTTTTATGAAAAATTCGTCTACTACGCGTTGTTATCCTGCGTAATCAACGCAGAAAGGTCCTAATTGTAGGAATTAAGGGTTGTAATTATTACCATTAAATCCCGTTGATAAATGCACTTTAGGAGCCTATAAAAAGTGCAAATTTTTCTTGATTATTGTTCTTGATAATTGAATTATTATTTGATAGTAATGCCAGTACGTAGTACAAAATTCCTTTCGAATGCTTTAATATTTCAATATTTTTAATCTACAATTTTAGTAGCCTTGTATTTTACATATATTAAAATATATATTTAATATTATAAATGATTTTTTTTTTTTTTTTTTTTTTTTTTTTTTTTTTTTTTTTTTTTTTTAAAGAAAAGTGCAAGTTCTTATAATAAGCGCCAAAATCCCATTATTATATATTAATATGTTAAGTGAAATTTTATTGCGAATAAATGTAACACGCAATGTGTTAGAAAGTGGTGATTAAAAATACGTGAAAAGATAGATCGAATATTTTTCGATAAATCTAAGTATTTGAGAAAAGATCACTTTTTTTATACCTGTTGAACGAAAAAGGAGATAAATATCAATCTTGCTAATTGCTAACGTTTATTAGTTTCTCAAACATATTAAAAAGTAACAAAAATTTAAAAGTTATATTAAAATAGAATGTTTAGTATTGATTGATTGATGTTGAATAAATTTTTTCTTCTTTTTATTAATTTTTTTTTTTTTTTTTTTTTTTTTTTTTGTCATGAAATTAAAGGACTTCAAGGGTTGGCTTAATTAAAATCAAAATTACTGTATAGAATACTTTAAGTTTCTTTTCTCTTTTAAATATTATACTTAAAAGGAATACGCATACGCGTATCTCGTTAAAAATGATTTCATTGTATAAACGAAAGCATCTAAATTTTTTATTAAAATTTTTTCAATATCAACAGTCCAAGTTCTTTATTACATGCAAGGTTGATTTCCACAGTACTTGTCCTCTAAATTTCATGCTAAAGGAAATAATTGAATGTAATATTGCTCGTTCATGAATTACGACTAAATGGATAGAGTTTACTCTAAAATATTGCTCAGCTATTACATTAATTACGATAACACGTGCATTGCCAAATCATTCAGGTCTACTTTAAAATTGAATATCGATAAGCAATAAATAACGCTCTAACAACAGGTCTTCTTGGCCACATCCTTGAGCACAATCACCACGAGGGATCGACTTTGCTGGATCCTCTCGGGCTCTTCCACCGACCCCAAAGTGGCGCCGAAGCTTCGGCGAACAGCAAGGCCACCTCCCTCACTGGCAATCTCAACCTTGGTCTCATCGGCGTCTCGGGCAGCATCAACAGAGCCGAGGCCAATTCCCATGCCAATGCCTATGGCAGTGGTTCTGGTCACGGTGGCGCCGGCGCCAATGCCAACGCCGCTGCCAGTGCCAATGCCAATGCCAATGTCAATAGCAATGTCGCTCCTCACGGTTTTGGTGGACCGAACGCTAACGGCTACAGCGGTGCCAACGCCAACGCCAACGCTAACGCCGCTGCCAGTGCCGGTGCCAACACCGGCGCCAACTCCTACGGAGGATCGACCGGTTACAACGGAGCCAATGGATTCGGTGGACCCAATGGATACGGGCATGACAATGGCTACGGCGCTGGTAATGGTTACGGTGTAGGCAACTCCGCCGCCAACGCCGCTGCCAACGCCGCCGCCAATGCAAACGCCAACGGTGGAGTGGGCGGATACGGTGGTAGCAACGGTTACGATCAAGGCAACACCTGGACCAATCCCGGCCCTTACGTCAACCAACTTGGCGGCCACGGTGATGCCAACAATTTCGGCAACGTGAACGGATACGGTGGTGGCAACGCCTTTGCCAACCCCGGCGCCAACCATTACGGAGGCCACAACGGCAACGGTTACGGTGCTGCCAACGCCAACGCCAACGCCAACGCCAACGCCAACGCCAACGCCAATGCCAATGTTGCGACCAACGCCAACGGGAACGGATATGGACCAAATTTCGGAGGTAATTTCGGAGGCAATGGTGGTGGATTCCAAAAAGTCAATGCTCAGGCTCAAGCTACCGCTAGTGCCAACGTCCAAGGTAGTTATTAAAGTCGAGGATTTTAATGCTAAGAGGAAGAACAATCGTTGTGTTTATGTGACTGTGTATTTATTGTGTTGATGTTATCAAATGGGATAATTACTCTGTACAAAATCAGAAGCTGTGAATTTTTCATGTTCTACTATTAAAGTATGCTTTTCAATTACGTGCTCAGTGTTTATGATTTAATTTATCGTATTCATTTGGCCGATTTTCATTATTCATTGTATTCGTAGTCGACTCATTTATCGAAACGATAAATCCATTTTTTTTCTCTTTTTTCTTTTTTCTTTTCATTTTCTTCGTTTTTCTTTTTCTCCACTATAAAATGCCTTGTCGTTTATCTCCGTTTAAGACATCTTTGATTTCTTTCATTATCAGGGGGACTTGAAATCATTAGCATAAATTATTACATATTAATCGTTGATAAGTCAATGTTCTTCGAATCTCGTCTCAATTTATGGATTTATCCTTCTGCGATTGACATTTATTTATTATTAAATTTTTTTATTTTTTTATTTTTTAATTTTTTTAAATATTCAATGTATTAGAGTTCACGAGCAAGATGATATATAACGATACATTTTCGCAATCGCCTACACACGATCTTTTTTATACTCCACGCCTCAAAGAATATAATTAACACAAAAATTGTTACGAAAAGTAAATTAACCCTTTGAAAGCCTTGAAAGTAATTTCACTTTGTTAATCAATTCATAGTTCGTTCATAAGTTACATTATGCATTCGTAAGGTACATTATGAGTTAAATTGGCATGGCCTGCTGTGTCGTTTAAGTTTTATAAACATCCAACGACTTCGGCCCATTAAAATTCACACGAGTCTATCCGAATGTAAAATTTTTGTCCTTCTTTACCGACCATTAAACAAGGTTTCTGCATCCATTGCACAGTTGTTCGAGACTATTCGTTGCTTCTTCATCGTCGATCTCATTGCTTCAAATCGTCAATTGCTCCTCATGTCCACATATTTATATTATTCATTTTCATCGTTAAATGTCCAAATATGACAGGGCATACAAATTCTTTTGGAAATGGACCGTCTTCTGGTAGCATTGAAGCCCTTGGATCGTCCAAACTGCACCACCCCCTCCAAGGTTCTAAAACTGTATCTACAGCCAGCGCAGCTGAAGATGCAAATGTCGGTGTCGGATCATTAGGCTCGGTGGAAAACGTCATTTCTCAAGGAAAACAGTTTCAAAATAGTAACAGTTTAAAATATGGGGCTCCATTGCTAGTAGCAAGTGACGGTTTTGTTCAATCCAGTGCGAACGCTAATACAAGCGACAATCTGGATGAAAATATCAATGAAAATGCAAATGCAAATGCAAATGCAAAGACCTTTACGAGCACAAATATCGACGCGAATGAAAACGTAGTTACGAATGCAATTTCTAATGCGAATACAAATGTCAACGCGAATGCAAATACTTTTAAGAATACCAATATTCATGCGAAAGTGAACTTCGATGAAATTCCCAATGTTCATGTAAACGATTATGGGAATGCAAATGTCAATGCAAAAGCAAATGCCGATACAACTGCAAATATCAACACAAATGTAAACTCTAATGTAAATTCCAACGCAAATGCAAATGCCTTTGCGAGCACAACCACTAACACGAACGTAAATTCTAATACAAATGCCAACACTAATTCAAATACCAATACTAATGCAAATTCCAACACTAATGCAAACGCTTTTACGCATATATATGCTAATACAAATGTAAATACCAACGATAATGCAATTGCACAAATATTTTCTAATGCCAATTCTAATATGAAAGCAGACGTTTTTAAAAATGCACAAACACATACGAATGACAACGCCAGTGCAAATACAAATGCTAACACAAATGCAAATGTATTTTCGAACGCAAATTCTAATGCAAATATAAACATATTTCAACATGCAAAGGCACACATGAATACAAATACTAATACAAATGCAAACGCTAATGCATTTTCGAATTCAAATTCTAATACGCATACAAACGTTTTTAAGAATGCAAATGCATACGCGAATGAAAACGTCAAAACAAATACAAATGCAAACGCCAATACAAATACAAATGCAAACGGTAATACAAATGCAAATGCAAACGCAAATGCGTTTTCGAATTCAAATTCTAATACGCATACAAACGTTTTTAAGAATGCAAATGCATACGCGAATGCAAATAGTGATGCAAACACTAATGTAATCGTAAATACAAATACAAATGCAAACGGTAATACAAATGCAAATGCAAACGCAAATGCGTTTTCGAATTCAAATTCTAATACGCATACAAACGTTTTTAAGAATGCAAATGCATACGCGAATGCATTTGCTAATGCAAATGCCAATGCAAACGTCAATACAAATACAAATGCAAACGCCAATACAAATACAAATGCAAACGCCAATACAAATACAAATGCAAACGCCAATACAAATGCAAATGCAAACGCAAATGCGTTTTCGAATTCAAATTCTAATACGCATACAAACGTTTTTAAGAATGCAAATGCATACGCGAATGCAAATAGTGATGCAAACACTAATGTAATCGTAAATACAAATACAAATGTAAACGCGAATGAAAACGTCAATACAAATGCAAATGCAAACGCAAATGCGTTTTCGAATTCAAATTCTAATACGCATACAAACGTTTTTAAGAATGCAAATGCATACGCGAATGCAAATAGTGATGCAAACACTAATGTAATCGTAAATACAAATACAAATGTAAACGCGAATGAAAACGTCAATACAAATGCAAATGCAAACGCAAATGCGTTTTCGAATTCAAATTCTAATACGCATACAAACGTTTTTAAGAATGCAAATGCATACGCGAATGCAAATAGTGATGCAAACACTAATGTAATCGTAAATACAAATACAAATGTAAACGCGAATGAAAACGTCAATACAAATGCAAATGCAAACGCAAATGCGTTTTCGAATTCAAATTCTAATACGCATACAAACGTTTTTAAGAATGCTAATACACACACGAATACAAATACTAATGCAAATACTTTTACAAATTCTAATGCACATTTAAATTCTAACACTAATGCAAATGCAAACATATTATCAAATACCAATTCTAATGTGAATGCAAATGCAAACGCCAATACAAATGCAAATGCAAACACAAATGCGTTTTCGAATTCAAATTCTAATATGCATACAAACGTTTTTAAGAATGCAAATGCATACGCGAATGCAAATAGTGATGCAAACACTAATGTAATCGTAAATACAAATACAAATGCAAACGCGAATGAAAACGTCAATACAAATGCAAATGCAAACGCAAATGCATTTTCGAATTCAAATTCTAATACGCATACAAACGTTTTTAAGAATGCTAATACACACACGAATACAAATACTAATGCAAATACTTTTACAAATTCTAATGCACATTTAAATTCTAACACTAATGCAAATGCAAACATATTATCAAATACCAATTCTAATGTGAATGCAAATGCAAATGCATTTTCTAATGCAAATTCTAATACAAATTCAAACGTTTTTAAGAATGCCAATACTAACTCAAATGCAATTGCTTTCGTTAATTCAAACGCTAATGCAAATACTAACGTAAACGCTAATGTAAATACTAACGTAAATACAAATGCAAATACTAACGTAAATGCAAATGCCCATACTAACGTAAATGCAAATGCAAATACTTATACAAATATAAATGTATTTACCAATGTAAATAGTATTGCGAATGCGAATGCGAATGCTAATACGAATGATAACGCAAATACAATAGGTGTTTCCTTTCAACAACCAAGTGAAAAGGTACCAGTCGGTCTTTTACCACGTCCGAAACACCATAAGCACCACCACAACGGTCTTCCACCTCATGTGTTTGCCGATGACGAAATGTATGGTCCTCCTCCTCCGCGACGTCCTCCCCCACATGGTCATTATAGACGCGGTCCTCCTCGTCCCCGTCATCACGGTCTCCCTCCTCGTCATCATGGCCCAGTACACGGCCCACCACCTCCAGATCACATGCCTCCACCTCCCGATCATCACATGTACGGCCCTCCGCCACCCCCTAATCCAATATACGATTCACTTCCGGAAAGAGACCTAGTCCCATTTCCATCTCCAGGAAGACCAGCTCCACTTTCACCGACATACAAAACAGATGTAGCGATCGCCGACACAAACAAGAAAATACCGAGTAGAGGTGAGACAATTGTTTCAGTCATTTTGAATTAGTTCGTTTTATTGTTGAATTTAATTTGTCGATGAATCGGGTTGATAATATTTTCTTTCATTAAGTATCTTGATTAGACTACTAGATGCTGATTAATTTCTATAGTATCATTATAACAGTTTGTTGGCTTAGATGAATATGAGTCATTAAAAATATTCGTTTCCTGATAATTTCATAGATCAGATGTGCCATGTAAATGGTTAGTTTGGTAAATATATCGAGCAATACTATTAGATACAATGAATTATTGGTTTTAAATTACTTTCTAGTTTTATAACAAGGGAGAAAGCAAGTAAGCCCTTGTAAATATCGTTACGGATCTATAATTTATATTTCCTCATGTTTGAGTTGAAAATTGTTATGACTTATTTATAGGTGCATCAATTGTAATAAAAGGTTATAATACTGTTACGCATGCACGCAAGTACGCGCGCACGCTCACACACACACACACGCACACACACACACATATATATAAATATCTATTCAATTATAGATGACGAGTGCGCGTACAATTGCGAGTACAGACCTCAACCTCAACCCGTCGTTCAACTTCAATCACCTTACAATAACAACCCCTTCTTATCTGGCAGTGGCATTTCCAATGCAAACGCTAATGCCGCTGCGAGTGCCAACGCCAATTCTGTAACATCTGATACAACTGCCAACTTACTTCCACCAATCAATGTATATGGACCAACGAGCCCGCAGCAGCCAATTCAACATCTGGGGCATCATACTCAGGTGCCAGGAATTGCCGACGGATCTTTCGGTCTTAGCTCGCAAGCGAACGCTAATGCCAATGCAAATGCCGCCTCCCAAGCTGATTATCTCGGTCAGGGTGGATACGGAGCTTTGACCGATGATACTAACGATTCTAGCGGCTTAATAATAGTTGGCGGGCCACAACAAAACACTGGATTAGGTGGATCGGCTTCGTCGAACGCAAATGCTGCTGTTGAAGCATCAGCCAGTGCCGACGCTAAGGCTGTCGCTAACATTGCTAATACAAACGCCCAAGCCAATATCAATTCCGGTCTATATCCTTTACCCAACTATGGAGGTCCCGGCCAACTGGGCAATGCTGGTAAGTAATCATTATGAGAGCATGTCCTTTTTCTTCCCGATCTATTTATTTTTCATCAATGGTGAGCAAAATTAATAAAATCGCATAGCTTGCAAATGTAATACAAATTTTACGATACTAATAAAAAATTATTAAACTTTAATTAATTCAATAACACATTTCTGGAGGACACAGACTATGAAGTAAATAGCTCAAGGAATTATGCAATTTAGTAGGATAGTAATGTAAAATAAATTTATATGACATAGAAAGGATGGCCAGTTATAGTAATAAATTTTTTAATTATCATTTACAGCTCAACGGAGAATTATCTTTCTTTAAAAGTATTTGCCATACGACTATTTTGTAAAAATATAGCCATGTCGATTAAATTGGTTGAAAATTGCATGCGTGGATGACTTTTTTTTATCGGGAATTTAAGTCACTTTGAGCCATCGATGAGTCCTCGTACCGATGGGATGCGTAATTCCGCTGCCTCACGGCCTAATACCGAACTGTCACGAATACTTACGTTTCCGCGATCCCATTAATAATAACCTAACCTGTCGAACGTTCACATTAACGTACGTGAATTATGTTATTCCAGCCTCGAATGCCAATGCCAAAGCAAGTGCGAGCGCTAATGCCCAGAGCAATGCGCTTTCGAGCACCACCGCCGACGCCCACGCCGACGCCCACGCCGACGCCCACGCCGACGCCCACGCCAACGCCGTCTCCAAAAGCTTTGGGGGTGCGTCGGCCTCAGCCTCGGCGACGGCCTCGGCATCAGCCACGGCTTCCTCGGGGCTACCCACCTTCGGCGGTCTCAATTTTGGCTTAAAAAGCGCCGCGGACGTCTCGGCGTTCGCCAGATCAAACACCCAGGACGGGCTAATCTTCAGTAACTGAGGACCGATGCCACGTTACCCCAATTGCGACGTTGCGCCGTGCCGGGAAAACGCGTCACCTGGCAAACCGAGGCTGCCACTACCAGGACGTCGACAAATTTTTCCACTTCGAGGCCATTTTTATTGGTTAAGGAGGAGAGGGCGCCAAGGATTATACGGCAATTGGTAGTGCAGCACTTCAGGCCTGGGACAAGACGAGCTAATTGGCTTTATCGCTGGGCTAGTGCACTCGAACTTTAGATAAATGTTGCATTGTGTAAATATGGACGACCGCGTGTGTGTTTCATCTTGACATATTGTTCGGTGGCTTTTAGCGAAATATATTTGATCGATGAAGCGCTATCCTCGAGCATTTTATCTATTATTGGTCAAAGAATCGTCACTTTCATTTCATGCAAGAATTTGCTATAAAAAAAAAAAAAAAAAAAAAAAAAAAAAAAAAAAAAAAAAAAAAAAAAAAAAAAATAAAACGCTTGCACCGATAACGAAGTAATGCCACTATAGGTCGGGGCCTGAATCTCATTACGAAATTTTCTCCAATTTCTTTGCTATTCAGTGTCGTTAAATGGATTACAACAACATAGATATCTATTTTAACAGCTCTCTTTATTTGATAAGCATCATGTATATGGCGAGAATGTTCTAATGTTCAAATGAATGTTATAATTAGCGTAAGAAAGTGAAAGTATTGTTATTAACGATGTTGTAAAACTTGTCAAATTCGTTGTGACTTTTATTTCTTATCTTTTCTTATCTATAGAATAAGACGCGGATCTCGAAGCCGTGAAAAATACAAGCGAGCGACGATGTATTTTTCTCCCAAGTTACAATTTTTCCTGCAATCGACCGCCAAGAAAGTGAACAAGATCGACACTAGGAGACGACGTATATCGTATCTCGTTACTTTATCGTTATATCATTTTCTCAATATTTCAAGTAAATAATCGTTGTGTCCTGCATGTGTCCTCCGACACATATTCCAGCATTAACTGACAAATGAACATTATCATTAATAATATATCGATTATACATGTATTCACATAAAACATCATCGTTTTCACTTAATTTTGTTATTTGTCAGATCTGTGACTTTACTTATTGCGCAATTACATAATGTACTCGATAGATAATCATCAATAAAATTTCTTATATCATCGTTGTGCTTAAATGAGCGATAATTATGTTAAGCCCTCGTATCCTTTCTCTCGATATACATTTTAATCGTCAATTTGAATAAAGCAAACTGGCTGAGCGCTCGAGCTCTATCTTTCGTTCTGTAAGCATTGGCATTGTCAAAAAATAATTTGAGAATAATAATTACAATAAATTTACATAAAACATAGTAAAAAAAAAATATATATATATATATATATATATATATATATATATATATAAATACTAAATATTACGATAAATTAGCATTTTATTGATTATTTTATTATGTGTACACTTGCCTCGACTATTCTTCAAATTCATTTCTATTGTATATACATCAAATTTTATTACGCGTGATCATATTAAATTTTAATTACATAATTTCTAATAATAGAGATTACTAAATATAAAATAAATACTTTTTCTAAAGAATACCAACTCTGATATGTAATATTTCGTTTTCTCATTTTCTCGATGTTTTTTTCTTTTTTTCTAAGATTCTAAAATCCTACAGAAATAAAATTATTTCATAATTGTTAATCATGTAAATTAAATTGAATGCTATATATATATATATATATATATGTGTGTGTGTGTGTGTGTGCGCGTGCGTGCGCGCGCGCGCATTTAAAGTATTTAAAGTATTTAAATTACAAGTTATTATCACACTACCGGCAAGACAACATATTCAAACATAATATCGGATTTCAATTGGAGAAAGAGTAAAATGTACTATACTTCGTTATATTGGAATTAATATTGCGTACACATATATGGGCTTTAGTTTTATACATATTGCGATCTATCTTCTTTCCTCATTAATGAAAGCTTAAAAATTTTAATATTAAATGTTGAAAAACATATCTAGAGATTTATAGTATTTAGCATAGTTATTACTAGATGGCGCTCGAAACGACATTTTACGTATTAGACATAAGAAAATCTTGGTTTACATTTTGATATGAAACATTTAATTTTTCGCATCATATATAATTATCGGGTAGCTACGGATCTTCTTTTATAGTGTTAAGTTTGTGGTAAAAATATCGTAATAGCAATTTTAAAATATTGTAGTTTTAATATCAAATTTATAAATCGAACTTATACAATTATTAAAGGATTTAAAGACATAAAACTTTTACAGAACTTTTACAAAAATTTTCAGAAAGAAACATTATTTCTGTGTCTAATTAATTATTTTTTGATATTTTTTTTTTTTTTTTTTTTACCAATGTTTGAGTATTCTAATTCAATGAGAAAATTGTTGTTAATTTTTCATTTGTTTATAAATTTAAAATTACATTGTAGAAGAAAAGAAAGGGAAGGAAATCCAACGGAAACAAGTTTTAGTATTGTTTATGCTTATTTATTATAATGTAGTTATGTTCGATAATTTTAATCGAGTGAAATTTTCTTTACGTAATTCAAATTTACATAAGTTTTTAACATATGAATTTTAGCATTTGATGGATTATAAAAATATTAAAAAAAAAAAAAATATTATTGAAATATAGAACGTGTACAATATTTTTATAGAAATGTAAATTATATTCAAATTTAATTTTGGCTTATTTTGAGTGCACGATCAGTTTTTAAATTAATAATTCTTCTAAACAAATGCTTTCGTATATAATATGATTATTGTAAAATCATATTTTTTTAAAAATTATTTTTTTAACAGTTTATTAAAATTATTCGTACTCATCTTTAAAATTGAACTAAAACGAATGACATATTTTTCATTATATACGCTCTGTCAATCATTTATAATGATAACTACGTTGTCTGAAAAATTCCTAAAATAATATCACTTTCAAAAGTATCTTCTAAGAATATTTTACAATCAAGCTTTGACGAAGTAATTCATTCATTTCCACGAAAAATTAACATACTTAGCACATAGAGAGCCGCGTTTAATGACAATGTATCTCGTAACATCAAAACTCACAATAATTATCAGTATTCGATATTAAGAAATTGGAACTTGTATTTGAAGAAACTAATACTAGATTTTCTCGATTAACGCCCAAGTTGTTTTTAGTATCTCTTATCCAGTAAAATGAAGATTCTCGCAATAATTTTATTTGCCTATATTTTCACTACAACCACAGCAGATTCTTTGGATGGTGATGGATTTAAACTAGGTAATTTTTAGGTATATTAATAGCATAACTTGAAAAATTTAAATTATATAAAAGATGCATTCTTATATTAAGATTGAATTTTTGATAGTTAATTTTAATGACTTTCAATAAATCGTCAAGAAAATCTGAATGATAAGTAAATAAATAAAAAGTCCAAAATTATAATATTTACTCACATATTCGTAACCAACGAACTATATTAAAAGATTGCATTAGCTATCTTAAAAAGCTTAGTTATCTCAAAGCTTAATATATATATATATATATATATATATATATATATATATATATTATAAATGATAAAACATATTATAAAAGTATTAAAAAATGTAATCCATTATCATTTGCTATACGTTTTTGGAAATGAGCATTTCATTTATTAAATTAATGATTATTGTTATGTAGTGCAATTTAGTATGACTATATATAATTTAAAAATTGTTTAATTTGATTAAATATGATTAATTATTTCATAAATATGGCAGAAATATTATTTTACTTTGGACTTTCGAGAGGCAAAAGATAAATGTTAATTTGTTTTATACGTGTGGGGAGAAAAAAATTTACCGAAAAATGAACTATTTAAAGGTTTAAAGGCAAAACCTTCGTTTCTAAGAACTTAAATTAAGCGATATTTTCGTCTTCTTACCAAAAAATTTAGTGCAATGGCAAATAACAAGTTTGCTTGGTATTGAACGATATATGTTACTATTTGAGAGAATTTATTTTTTATTTATAGCACCATGAACTACAAATTCACTACAATTAATGTGGTGAATTTTTTTGTATTTAGTAAAAAAAATTTTCTTCAAATGTATTAATATTTCATTTATAAATAATAATGATGAATAGACTATTAATTATATAATGTTTATTGTAGATATCAAGGAGCCATTATTGCATAAGATCCCTCTAAGGGATAAAAAATCTTTAGGAATTGACAAAAATATTAAGAAAGAGTAAGTCATTTAATTTTATTTATTTATTATTTTGACAATGAAGCCGTAAATGCCCTTTATGTAACAAGCCGACTGTTAAACAAACGTGTAGAGATATTAAAAAATCTAATTCAATTTTTATAAGCTTAATCGAAGACCATAAGTAGAATACACGTAGACAATAATTGTTTGTGATTTAAGTGCTCAAGCATAGACTATATTTTACAAATTTTCTAATATGAAATCCAAATCTGTAAACGAATGATGATATATTACATCCAATATCAAATACGCGCAGTTCTTTACGTAATACGGATGTGGATAATGAATATGTATCTCTATAAATTACCGTAAAAATATTTTTAACCGCTAAATTACCATAAGCAAATACTTTATGTACGTTCAATGTATCCTACCCCAGTTCCCCGAAAAATTTATGAAATATTAACAAATCTTATTAGTAGAGACTGGCTCATTAATGGGATGATACATGGATTCGACCATTTTTATACTTACAATTATTATTCAGATAAAGCTGATGCGCATAAAAGTTGAAGTGCAGTGGTTAGGTTAGGCTGAGATTACCTTCGACATTCGATCTCTTCCCGAAGCCCCTTGCTACCTTGCGAGCTATTTGCCATGAGCAAACGGATGGCTAATGAGTAATCAAACGGCTTTTGGGATGGGCGCGTGCGCCGTCCCTTCTGAAATTTCAGATTCGAGCTGAAAACCAAACTGGGCACGATGCTGAAAGTATCGAAGACCATCACGTATAGCGACGGGGGCGGACTAAAGAAAGTCACGGACAAACTTCATTCCAAGCATAAGAAGCAGCCGAGCCGACCGCTGGTGCACGAGGACTCCGTCGATCACCCCATCCCCGGTATTCACAACAAGAGCGATTTCGCGCACCCCCACCCTGCCCCCAAAAACCATCAACTCAGCAACCAGAAGAAGGCTCTCCTCGCCAGTCATAAAAAGGCTATCCTCCTTGGCTATAAGAAGGCTCTCAAGTTCAAAAAGATCCTCTTCCTAAAGAAGATATCCGACATTGTGAGGGCGATCGCCAGCAAGAAGAAAATAGGCCCCCCCTGCTGCCCGACCGGGCCCTGCTGTCCCGGGAGGCAGGGCTAGGGAGCGACGGTTATCGCGCGTTTTATCAGACACGTTATGTCTCGATGACTATAAATTACACAATAATATAGTAGAATGCGTACACGAGCGTTCAATATTTCATTGTTTTGCCTTTTAATTGAATCTGTATGCTGGCACCTTGCCTCGCCTGTCCCTTTTCACCTTTGCACTCAGCCCATTAATGTAACGTTGTTGTTGCATTCAATTATTTTTAGCGCAAATCCTTTTATGTATTTTATATTTTGTAATGTTGTTTTATCGTTGCTTGACAAAAGTTATTAGTTTTATTCTTAGTCAAATGTATTTAATAAGTTTGTGTCTTAAGTACGAGCCAGGAGCATTTTATTGTAATTAGATATCGATATGTAATAATGAGTAATGAGGAGCGCACCTCATCAAACGAATTTATACATATTTTGTTAAAATTCACTGATTTCTTTACAGCCTCAGTCCTGGGTTTATATTTGCATTATCCATACACATAATTAGTTGTTTGTATTTTTCGTAACTTTAAGATTGGATTTATGCAGTTGATGCATTTTTGAATTAAAATTGAATTTGTGAAAAAAAAAAAAAAAACAAAAAATAATACAATTTTGTACGCCTAAGCTATATTTCTGACACTCAACGTACACCAAATTCGAGAAAATATCACACCTTCGGTTCTAAAATAATAAAACACAGCTGGACTTATTGCACCATTATCAAGAACATGGATGATTGCTTCGAACTCGATTCGATATAACGTAGCAAAGCGTAAAGTTTATAAACAATTATCCGACGTGCTTAGTTTATCAATTTTAAAAGCTTTGACTTTTCATATATTAGTAGATAGAGTCTTTGCTCATAAAATAGTAAAACCGAGTGTCTATGGCCTATTGTTTTACAGAATAATGGTAAGAAAGTATAAATTATCGTTATCATGGTAAAAAATTTAATTTTAAGCAAACATTAAATTGTTAGTGAAGCGAAGACTCGTCAAATTCATAAAAGGCAATGCTTTTATGTAATAACGGCATATAGTTTTACGTAATACTATACTTACCTAGGGCTTACAATGCTTCAAATTTCCCCGAAGATTATCCGATATTCTTTAATTTAGAAGTAAACACTTGTAATTTATTAAATTTCCTTTTTTTTTCTTCATATTATTGCGTAAGTATTGGTTTACTTGTCGAGCGTTATATCAAAAGTTAGAATATCAAAAATCGGCATTCATTTCAGCGAAAAGACAGAAGGAAAGCACGCCGAAATGAATATAAGCGTCTAATATCAATAGAAGAGGGCGCATAAACATATTCGGATATATTAATATAGTAAATAATAATTTGAGATTTCGTGAAATTAGTCGTAGAAGGAAAACGAGACTTAAAATATCGTGCCGAGGTATTGGCCAGTTTCATTTGAAATTGACGTTGCATTACCGATGATTAAGCGTATCGGTGAAGCTCCGTGAGACAGTTTTGCAAAAACGCAAAGCTCACTCGTGGGATCAGCGTATTGGCGTAGCGAGCGAGAGCACTTAAAAATACCACGAAAAAGAAATAATTTCACTCGAGGCTTTTAAATCATGCTCACCTCTTCGGTCATTGTCTGTCGGCATAATTCATACATTGCATTACGCATAACCAGTTGGCGTTAAGACACGTACGCCGGAACGCAGAAAGAGAGAGAGAGAGAGAGAGAGAGAGAGAGAGAGAGAGAGAGGGACGCGTTATCCATAAGCATTTCTCAAGTGTCAAAGTTGCGCCTGTTTAAATTAATATCGTCGTCTTGAGCCTTAGAGGAGGATGGCCCTCGAGTATCCGTTAGAGAGCAAAGGAATGGCTATGGTTGGTCGGCACCCAGCGATGGATATTTAGCGCCCGAGGGCCGCTTAGGTGGGAATTTCGCGCGACCTTCGACTCGCCGAGTCGTCGTCCTTGTTGCGTCGAAATGCCGCGAAAGCCTCCCAGCTCTTGAATATTCATCGCGGGATTCCCAGTGCGCGGGCGTGTAGCACTCGGCCTCGCGTGTCACATCTCGAAGTGTCGGTTTACGTCTCCGCGAGCGAAATTCGACATGTCTCGACGATGATCATTTGCCGTTGAATTTGGCGATAAGTACTTTTCAAAAAATAGACCTTTAATGACCCGATCTCGTATAATCGGCTCGACCTCGCTTCTACGTTGGTGAAAATTAAAAAGAGCGTTTCGAAAGATTCGCCTGTCCACTTAATTTTCACCTGGCGACTGCTAACATTTTCCTATCGATCGATACGCTCGAGTATCGCAGTCTATTCTTCCCGTCTATTCTTTCATATTATATATATATATATATATATATATATATATGTTATTCGTCAAATGTTTCACAAATTCGTGTTGACGCTCTAATGATGAGACGCGGGAGGTTGAAACACACAGTTGACTTGACCTTGAGAGTGAGCGACTCCGCTAAATAAATTTCTAATTGCTGCAAAATAAGTCGCGCGCTGTGTATGTATACTCAACGGACGTAATTTTCAATGTAAAATATATGTAAAAATTCTGAAATGCGTATTTTTATGGAGAGTTAGTAATCGGATGAGTACTGACGGAGAAAAAAAAACAGCGCTCTCCCCCATCGAACAAATTTGTTATGGATTTAACAGATCTCTACGAAATAACCTTAATTTTTTATAAATATCAAGAGGGGAAGTACCGAGTTGTACGTATACACATTGCAAAATGCAATTTTCCCATAAAAGTGGAATAAACAATTGCTTCATGTCGACTCGACAATCTTCTATGACGAATTCAGACCAAAATTCTACTCGCAATTCAAATTCCCATGCAACTATACAGATAATTTCATTTTTCATAAAACGAACTTACATTCGTGGAAACTTGACACGTTACCGCCGCATTCCTCGATAATTTAAAACTCGATAAATCCAAAAACATACTATGAAATTCAAGAAAAATTCAGGCGACCTGGTCTTCGGGAGACACGTGGTCTTGCCGCTCGAGTTTCGCGACAAAGAGCTCATGGGCCTCGGTGTAGGCCTAATATACCTTGGCCAGGCGTTACGCTTAAATGAATAATCGCCCGGGCGAGCCTCGGAAGAGAAAAGATAAAAAAGAGGATGGGTGCTTCCGGGGACGTTTGCTAATAGGAAAAGGTCGGTCGGTTGTGTGCGGCTCATCGGCTCCCCGACGTTTACGAAATACGGGCGCGAGAGCGCCCGGGTGAAGGGAGGCGGTGGTATAAGAGTGTCGGCGAGTGCGTCGAGGCGCGACTTTGCAGCAGCCTTCCGTCGATAGGACTCCAGGTAGACATTTTCGGGCAAGACTGCGAGGATGAAGTGGTCGGCACTGGTGGCGATGTTCCTGGCGTTTCTGGCCGGTGGTTGGGGACTCGGCCGACCTGGACTGCCCGACTCCGGAGTCGTCGTCGTCTTCCCGAAATCGACCAGAGGCCTTCGGGACACGGGTACGTTTTTGCCTGGCGCGCTGCCCTGGAAGTGAAATGGAGCGGCGCGGCTGAAGGGGCCGGCGGCGGTTGTCGGCGAGACGGTGGCGGTGACGGTGGCGGAGGTGCTAGGGAATACCGTTGCGCAATCGTTGCACTTTCCGCGTGACGGTGGGCCCATTATGAAAGTAAACAAGGATTCGTTGCGAAAAGCGGGGAACTTCGGTTTAATAATCATCGAGACGAGTGTGCTTTTGCTTTACACTTTTAACTAACAATGGCCGCTAACTGGAGCCTTACGAATGTATTTACGTTGACGTAGAAATAGTTATTTCGTTACATTGCTTTCGGAAATTTCAACACGTTGCTTCGCCGTTATATTGGATTTAGATTAAATTAATTCAATAGATTATCTTCGTTTAGAGATAAACTTAAACGTAAAACGGTAACATCACAGATTATTTACGCTGCTATTACAGTTGATTGGGGAATTCACGAATTTCCAATTCGGCTTATAAGTATTGAAAGATATCGGAATATCGATGCGTTTAAAGAACTTAATTTAGGCATGTTTGTTGTCTTTTACAGTGAATATTTTAATGATATTATTAAGTTGAAGAACTAAAGTAAAATATGGCATTCTTTCAAAAATAGTTTGCTTTTACATAATATTAACATATCTTGAATTACTCAAAGAGGAAAAATCCATATTATTTCTATTTATACTGAGTTATAAATCATATACCATACGTAACATATAAAATTATTGTAATATTTAAAAAATCGAAGGCATATCGATAAAATTCTTACCTTCAAAATATTTCTTTAAAATGTCATTATTATTTGCAATTCTAATGATTTAATTTACGAATAATTTTTTATTTAAAAAGGTCTAGCTAGCTAAGCTATTGGTATTTAATATTGCATAAGTCACTTTTTTCATTTCCCCATTTAAGATGATTCGCCGACACTTTTCCATACCCAACCATCCCATAATATTTTCTCCGCGTAACTATAAAAATTGAGAAAACAATTTCTAGTATAATGTTAAAAATGTTTATTAACCCATAGAATATCGTAGTACAGTGTTGTTCTTTTACAGAATGTTTTATCACCTACTATAATTTTATAAATGCAGCAGTCTTATTTTCAAATAAGATATTCCTTAAAGATAAAATAAAATAAATTATTAAGCGTAATGAAAATTTTATTAAAATCCTTGCTAAAATTGTCGGATAAGTTGTACGATTTAATGATTAGTAAAAGCTTTAGCAACCAAGGAGATACGTAATTTTTTAAAATTAATGAACAGTAAGACATAATTTTTGTACGATGATTGTTTAAATATTTACTTAAATTTGGATTATTCGATATTGTAGGTTCTCATTAAATTCCAGCTATTTTTTCACTTAATAAAACTTAATTGCATCCACGACGAATGCTATGCCCTTTACGATTTACGATCTTTCATGCACGGTTTGAATTATTATAAAAGTATTATTAAAAACCAGTTAATGAGCAGCAGAATGCCTAATGGAAAAATACAGACAAGTAGTAATATAATATAATGAAAAATTCTCAGTTGAACGAATACTTTAATATATATTCAATTAACTCTTTAGATTAAAATCTAATGTATATTCTATTTTTATTCTTATATTACGCTTTAACGATTTAATATATAATAATAATCACTTTCTTAAAAACTCTAGTATTTTCTAATAAAATATTCGTATTACGTAAATTATTTATAGTGTGTCTGTTTGTTAAATATTTTGTTTAATGTAAAGTGATATGAATTCCTATTACTTATTATTATTCAGTATTAACTGCTATTGCTCTGTGTACTGTTCTGAAATTTCGCAGTTACAGTATTGTTTTACAGATTGGAAATTAGTTTAGTTTTAAACGTTAATGTTTGGTGAAAATTATTAGGAAAGAAACAATATTTTATTACTTTAATAGTCAATGTGATTATTGATAGTTTTGAATATTTACTTATCAAACGACGCGATTTAAAATTACTACCGCAAGATTAATGTAATTGAAATTTTCTTATATGACAAATAAAGATATTGATGAAAAACATTAATATTTTATTATGTTTATAATATAAATTATTTATAATAGAAAAATTACACTACTGTCTTTAGATTTATTAAAAAACAAAACAAAAACAAAAAAAAACAAAAAAAAAATACAAAAAACAAAAACTTATTTGAAAAAGCATTATTTTCAATAATTTCTGTATATTGTCTAGTAGCGATTTGTCATTTTATAGTCGATCAAAGTGATCAAAGTGTCGACTAAAAAGTGCATTCGATATTATAAGTCATTCGATTTAGTCAATTTATATGCCATCTTCATTAATATCCTGATTAAATTATCCATTTTTAACAAAATTAATATATTATGAATTATCGTGTATATTATGAGAAGTAAGTGCTAGATCAAACGAAACTTCAACATATCGTCAACTTATGAAAAATGAGAAACTTTACCGTCAACATTGCATCATCGAGTCATTCACGAGATCGTATTAAAAAAAAAAAAAAAAAAAAAAAAAAAAAAAAATCACACATCAACGCAACGAGAGAGTAGCCAAAATACAACGAACTAACAGGAGAAATTTTAATTCTCCTTCTCATCGGTCCGCTCTCATCCGTTTCATTCGACTTTCTCACATTGATGCACGATTTTGCACGCTTTCGCAACATTCGTTCAACTCATTCGCCTGCCCACCATACTCTCCGACACCTCTGTTTCAATACTTGGAAGACAGAAGTTATCAAGCTATCGTTACTAATCCATCATAAGTCACAGTGTGCGTTTACTATCCCCAGTCATCACCTTTGTCCAAGTTCGTATTTTTACACCTCTAATTCGCAATCCCTGTTCTCTGGTTGAGTATCTCTGATCAAGTATTTTCAAATATATTTACGTAAACATAAAAAATAAGATCGAAATAGCATAATAATAAAAAATCAAGCTCAAATAGATAATTTGAAGCAATTCCTTTGTCTTTCGCTAAAATGCTGGTTTAGCAAGACAATGGCTATTACGAAGAAGAACATATACATTTCTTTCTTTTACCATCGCAGTCCTGAGACGTAAGCAGCGCTCCGTAAATAACGATTACGAGGATTATGGAGACGACGGTGGTCCCGAAGCCCGGCATTTCAAGCGCAAGCTCAAGTACAAATTTCGTCCTAACAATTACGGTCTAGGATACGGTGGTTTTGGATGTCGTAAGTTGCATGGCTGCGGAGGCTTCGGAGGGTAAGACCAATGCTTTGATCGATCTAATGCAATTGTTAATAAAATATCATTGGGGAATGGTTCAATCTCTAAATGAAAACAAGACAACGTCACGTTTTATATAATATACGAATATTTTTACCCAAGCCGACATAATTATGTAATCTTATTTGTTCTGTTTCTTTTTCTTTTTTTTTTTTTTTTTTTTTTTTTTTTTTTGTCAATACTTTACAACATTTCGCGTATTAACAACCGAAAGAGACGGGCCCACACGAGGCTGAATAACATTTTAGAAGCCGCAGCCTCATTTACGAGGCAAAAAACAAATTAAATTTCAGCATAGGTGCTAACTATATTTTAAATAATGGGAAACCTAGAATTCTAAACTATTGCTTTAGTAACTTAAAATTCAAAGAGCTAATAATTATATTTAAACGTATAATGTGGCACCGCCCTAGACAGACAATATTTTTACACTAATTTATTAAAATAATAATTCATTCGGATAGTTTGATCTCTGCCGTAAAATAAAAAAAATTAGGTATCTTATTGGCAATCGACACTTTAAGGGAAAATAATAAAAAGACTTATAATCAGTTAATAGTTTGACGTAAAATGATAATTTACCATTTGTCTTCTATCCCCTAGAGAATTATTTGCATATTTACATATCGAAACTTTCAAATACTAAAATGATATTTAAATTATTTCAATATACTTTAAAAGTTTTAGTACCTTCGTAACTATATCAATACAACAAGAATAATGATTATTTATTAAAATTAATTAAAACCATCGTTCAAAGCAACTGATTAAATGAAGTTAAAATCATTTTGTTTCTTGTACAGTGTAAAGTCTCTTGAAAAATGTCTTTCTAAATGTCTTTGTAAATTGACCGTTGTATAATCTGCCATTTATAACACTCCATTATTATCCGTTACATATAGAAAATTATTATTGTTTATAACCGAGCGATGTCTAAACAAATACCAAGTATTCATTCATATGTATAATATATAATAATAGCTTTCTGTAAATTATTATCGTTTAAGAAACTTATCGTAACAAAATATCTTATTTATATTTAGAATATGATGTAAATATTACATGCAGTGACATAATTTTACGAAACGCTTGAATTAAATTTATAGTAAAGGAATCGAGATGCATGTTTTATGATTATTTGCAAAATTCACATCTTTCATCTGTCTGAAACAAAAAAAAATATATATATTCCTTTTGTTTAATAATATCCGTCTTCGGTAATACAACGATTAATTACGACTTTCTTACGTAAAAACCCTATTCCTATTGGGCAATGCTAGTCGGTATAAACGCAATTATATAATCGAAAAAGCAAATATAATAGATTAAGTTAAACAAATTCGGAATAAATTATGAATAAACAAGGCATTTGTTCGATCTGTACGGTTAAAGGTGGCATCAGCCGCATTATGGAGGTGGGCCGGTCGCAGCTGCATTCGCAGGTTCAGGACACGGCTACGGAGGACATTACGGAGGCTGGAATCCCGGCTGGAATTATGGCGGCGGTCTCGGTGGCGGATTTGGCAGACCCGGACCCCACTCCCAGGTGGCGAGTTGGAATATCGGGCCCTTCCAGGGTGCATTCGGTTATGCCCACGCCGGTTAAGTCACAACCATGATAATGCATATCGCAGTCTGCTTTTACCGTTCACCCTTGCTTTTAAAATAATGGTGAACAAAAAGAAAAAAAAATAATCATCTCATTTCCTCGGCTCCTCCGAATTTCCGAACTTTAATGTGCTACATTGCGAATTTAGCGAATCGAAAAATCTGTACAAGAGATATAACGTAATATCCCGACTGCTGCTTTTTACGTGCAAATATTACGGATTTCTCTTTCGTTCGGTTAGTATTTAATATGACTTTGAGACGTGACTTTTGCCTTTTAAAGACCATGCCTGACTCTACCAATAGCAATTAACACTTTTTACAAATTCATTCTTAAGCAAAGATATACTTTTGAAATACAATAGGATGTTTAATATTATGTCTGTGTATATATATTTATTTATAAGAAATTTACAGTCATTGCTAGAAAAAAATTTTAAACATATAGCACGTGATGTTATAAATATTGCTATAAGCTCTATTAATGTAAGAGTATTTTTATTTTAGACCAAATTTATTAAAGTTAGAGCATTATATACTAATTCTTTGTCTATTCATTGTTAAGGTGTGATATTCTGAATATATTCAGAATAGGCGATAATAGAATCATTAGTTTAATGCGTTTATTTGTATTACTGAAACACTTTGTTATTCATCTTTGTATAAAAATTAATAATAATGAAAAAATAAATAAATAAATAAAAAATCTGTTATCGACATAGACAAATATACTAATCTCGTTCTCATTACGGATTAATTTCTACAAATTATTCTACAAATAATTATTCTACTAATTATTCTACTAATTATTTCTACAAAATATTAAGCTTATTAATAAATTTTTCACTATTTTAAAATAATTATTACCTCATTTTTATTTTAGAATGTTGTATCGAAATATTGATATAATAAAAATAATTTTATTTTTAACAAAGCTGTTATTACTACAATTTTTATTTCACAAGTTACTACAATCATTACTATCAAATTTTTTATCACGGTATTTCGAAAAATCGTGTTATTACATTTATCTCCGTATGCAAAAAATTTCTTTAATAATTATCGCTGCATATATTACGTATTTTAAAAGTTAAAAGTAATTTTATTTAGTTTTAATACAAATTAACTAATGCATTTACATTTTAAGTTCCATCTTGGGTGATAAGCTATCCCTCCGATAATAAGCAACGTATTCTCTTCTTTCGTGGACAATTACTTCCAATCAATTTATTGCCATGAACGAACATTAATTACTCATAAGCATATGGTTTCATGCCGTGCCGAAACGAGCTTATTAAGTGCGATTAAAGACGTATCAACTCAATGATATCGGGTCTATGAAAATATAATCGAATGCCGCGTTTCATAGCCACGAACACGCTTATTTTTATTGCGAATCTTCTCGGCAACATACGCATGGCCCTTCTCATTATGTGCAAATTCGATGCACCAACGGCCGCGATAAACGAGCAACAAAAGCGAATAATTGCAAATGCCGGGGCAATCAGCGGCGTAGTTGAAAAGTGCCGAGACACGAAAAGCTCTTAATATATGTGTACCCACAGCTCGGCTAAATAATTTGACGTTGATTACACGAAACGCCAACAGGAATTGGTGTGAAAGTGCACGATTCCATTCGCAGTGACAATTCGCCAGTCTCCAATGGGGATGGAAAGCCGTCGCGACAACACACTTTCCTTACCATTGCACTTGAATCGTCGTAAGCGAAACCCGTTGCGTCGCTCTCCCCCGTTCAAGCCGTTATGGAGCGATTTTTTCTCCTTCTCTCTCGGGTATTGCAACACTCGCCGATTTGCATGCATTACATGGCACATTTTGCACCTTCCTGTGCGTGCATTCTGCACGCAGATGAAAGTGACAAGACAAAGAAAGATCGACGCTTCCGCAGTGGAATGAAAATCAAAACAGACGCGATTCATATAATGCAGTCTGGCCGTCGATCCCGACGAGCGCAACACATTGATACGCTTGGCATGCGCGCGTATATGTGCCTCACGACCGGTTTGACCGTCGATTTACAATATGCCCTCTTCTTATACAGGGTGTTTCCAGGACGCGGGATCCAACCTCTTCGCAAATATTAAGTCCGGACTTCGTCAGCCTCAAAGCCATATGATATTCCAGTAGTATCTGTAATGTCGACTGCATTTGTCTGGAAAATATGCCATTTGCTATTTAGTTGGATTTTAGGACGAAGGGAAAATTATATTACGTGTCAGAATGAGTTTGCGTTCGTCTAACGGGAGGAAGAAAACAGCAGGATGGATTGATTATTCGATACGTGCAGGTTTATGTGGATTTTGTAAGATTTGTAAGACACAAAAGCTTGCACTTGACTTAGTTGAGTAGTAAAAATTTTAAATAAATCCTGTTCATATACTTCTGACTAACTAATTTACTGAATTTTGATGGAAACATCTAAGCAGATTATATAAGCCCTCTGTAAAAACATCATATAATCCTCTTTATCATATGATTTTTATTAACTTATGATTATAAATATTATTAAAATTATTTCATCTCAAATTAATAAATTTCTTTTTAATCGCTTATGGAAGCACGTATAATTGGAGTAATTATGCACAAATCCAGCGAAAACACGATAAAATTATTACTCATATTGCGCCGTAAATTAGAGAAATGTACGTATATGTAAATTGTGAGATTTTTTCTCAAATGTAGTTATTAATTCTATGAATTATAGTAAATAATGAATTTATTATTTATTCATTTATTTACAATTTCAATTTAAGAAACAATTATAAATAAATTTGTTTCAATCTCAACTTATTGTGGATTTTGAATACTTTTTAAAATGTGGCATATAATTTTGTTTGTAAAAAAAAGTCTAAAGATAGAAAAATATTTAATTTACATATATCAATATAAAAATACAAACAAAACGTTCGTATATAAAACAAAAAGTTGAACATAAATACTTCAAATCCGAATAATTAGAATTTTTTTTAATATACTTCAAACGTTATAGAGTTAATATTACCCTGAAGATGATCTGAATTTAAAATTACAATCTTTTTCAAAAAATATTTTTTATTTAAATGAAAAACGCAATAAATATGAGCAAATAGTTTGTTTATTATTTGACACTTTAAAAGCTATTTAATATGTTTTAATCTTTAATAGTAATGTATGAATATATATATATATGTATGTATGTATGTATGTTTCGAAATATTCGATTTTTCAGTATTGTTACTATTAATTCACCTTTGGCTGTGTTTATACTTTCAATGAAAGTAGACATGAATAGAAAAAAGAAGAATTTTATTCTAATTAATACATGTATAGTGTTATAAGGCTATAATTTATATTATTTGCAACTCGATTGAATTATTGTACATAATGAGGAATACTGATCTTTAATAGCTTTAAATTATTATAAATTGTCATTGATAATAAAATAACTGAAATATTAGAGCCAATCTTATGCTAATAGTTTGATCATTTTAAGCATTTAATATTTTTTACAGTACGAAGAAGTTGTTAAAATTTGCAAAAATCTACTCTTCGTAAGACTTAAAAATGAACTTGAATAATACGTCGAATGTATTCTCGTGTTCTTATGCATTGGGAACAAAATTTTGCGAGGAGTGTGAAACCGTTAGGTTTCTCAAACTTTCACCGCACACCCCCTTGTTCTTTCTATACTGCCTCATCTGGTCAAGAAGTGAAATTCTTGTTGAGATAATGAGACAGAATAAAGATGAAGAAATTAAACCTCGGCGAGTGAGGTTATGTACAGAATGTTCACGGCCGTTTAAACATCAATTGTTTGAATTAGCTACAAACATAATTTGACTCATCAACTCAATTTCTTGTCATACATTCACTCAATATTAAGCCATATAATGTAATTGCGAAAATTTAAAATTATTTGTCAAGAGGCTAGTTATTTTAGTAAAATTAAAAATTCTACTACTTGAATCTCGTCTTCATTTTTTGCAGAAATCAACAGATTTATTTGTATGCGTTATTGCAATATCGTGTGATAGCGTGAATAAATATAATAATCGCATATTAGGAGCGTAAGTGATTGTTGAAATTCTTCATAATTAGAAGATTTGTAATACGCTGTAATTTTTCACGAGCTAATAATAACTCGTTACGCCTAACGAATGAAATTATCTAAAAGCTCTATCTATTCACTAAATTTCCGTGCATTCGATGTTTTATTTGAAATTGAGTGTAAGAAGAAGGTTCCAAACTAAAGTTTCATGCTTTAATAATTTTGGCATTTTACCTTGGCCAGTTTAATTTACTCGATACATTATAAATCTGTGTTGGATTAAGAATTTATCGTCCTCTTAAAAAATGAGTAAGACACGCGTACGTGCGACTTGCCAAAGAGAATTTATCGCAATTAAAATTGGATGGATGCGCATTGCAAGAAACCTCGGCGTTACGCCCACTTCCGCTCGTTATTATGTTACTATGTTTTATTTATTGTTTTATTTGTTTATTTTTTTTTTTGCAAGAAAACAAATTTCCCAACCACTTTTCCAGGCCTCGCTGTTATTCACTATTTGTTATGAGACCGTTAGTCCATAATCCAAAGACAATCGCCCGCATAATCTCCCACGAAGAGATTGGAGCTGTACCGCGAGGACACCCTGTAGGTGGGCCCTACTCCACCTTCTCCCACCCGGCGGGGCTTTAAAAGCCGCGGAGGTATCCTTGGTCTCTCTACGCCCGACCGTCTGGAGCTCGCCGCTGAGAACCGAGATCGCGAGGGGCAGAAGATTCTTTGCCTTTTTTTGCTTCCTCTACCCCCGTATCGCTCGCTCTCTCTCCCTCCCTCTCTCTCTCTCTCTCTCTCTCCCCCTCTCTCTCTCTCTCTCTTGTCTCCACCCCTCCCTCCACCCAATCCTTCCCGGGGCCGTACACCCTCTCTCACTCTCTCTCTCTCTCTCTCTCTCTCTCTCTCTCTCTTCGACTCCTCTCTTTTGTCCTTTCCTTTTCACACGTTCTCCCCCTTCTTGGACGACGACGATGCGAGCGAGGCATTCACCTCGGCTCCGCTGAGAAGGGCAGTCCCTGGTACAATGGCCCTTGCCTCTGTGTGTGCGTTCTATCGCTCATGCACGCACCTACCGACGAAAATATTCCGAGAGATGCAACCCTTTACCGATGCGAAACTCGGTGCACCTCGGAGGCTGCGCGGAGCGAGAACCGCCAGCAGGTTCTTCGTCTCCGGCGCGACATTTTAAATAGACATAGGGGGGCAGCGAGGCCCCGAGACTCCGGGCTTCGTTATAATAATTTAGGTGCATTGCACCCTCGGGGCCCTTTTGCGCCGTTTGTGAACGCGAGACGGGCATACGGGTGGGAAGGGAGTTTGGTCCGCGAGACGAACGGAAGTGATCGTCGCCGCTTGCCTTTGTGCTGCGTACGTCTCGTCCGATAAATCGCGGGACTCGCCCTCTTCACCACCACCACCACCACCACCACCACCACCACCACCACCACCACCACCACCACCACCACCACCACCACCACCACCACCACCACCACCACCACCACCACCACCACCACCACCACCACCACCACCACCACCACCACCACCACCACCACCACCACCACCACCACCACCACCACCACCACCACCACCACCACCACCACCACCACCACCACCACCACCACCACCACCACCACCACCACCACCACCACCACCACCACCACCACCACCACCACCACCACCACCACCACCACCACCACCACCACCACCACCACCACCACCACCACCACCACCACCACCACCACCACCACCACCACCACCACCACCACCACCACCACCACCACCACCACCACCACCACCACCACCACCACCACCACCACCACCACCACCACCACCACCACCACCACCACCACCACCACCACCACCACCACCACCACCACCACCACCACCACCACCACCACCACCACCACCACCACCACCACCACCACCACCACCACCACCACCACCACCACCACCACCACCACCACCACCACCACCACCATCCCACCTGGCCACCGCCATCCCACCATCCCACCATCCCACCAAACGACCAGCCTCCACCTCGTTCCCCCGGTACTTTAACGGGTGAACGTCCGGCGCGATAACAGATGGGCCGCCATCCGATACTCTTTGCCTCTCTCCTCTCCATTCCTTTCCTCACCGCGCCACACCGCTCCACTCCGCCACTCTTCCTTCCTCTCATTCTTACGCTCTTTTTCAGAACACACTGGCTCAGCCTCTTCGATTTTCAATATCCTCCCTATCCTTCTCGCTATCCTTCTCTCTACGACAATACCGTTCGCTAGTACTGCCTTTATCGAAGGTAACGAGATTATTCGCGCGCGCGCGCACTCCTACACCGCCAGACGCACGCCCCGTTCGCGGATTCGTATGACAGGCACCAACTCAGCATCGAGCGCTTATTTCGAATCTAATGAGCGCCGTTGCTTTGACCATCGACCATACTGATCGGCAATATTTCCATTCTGCGCACGAGCTGCGCTATCGCTGTTATCGACGCGCGGCAATCCTTCGAATTATCCTGAAAATTATGAGTAAAATTCATTTTTACGGTTGCGTTTAAGCATCCCATACGCCACACCACACCAATTAATTGTTTAGAATCCTTCACTTCAGAACTTCAGTCAGCGTCTAATAATACGAGATTGATATTCTTCTCCACGGTCGTTTTAATCTACCGTCTTTACGCATTATAATGTTTAGGGTGTCTATGTCGTTGCATACATTAACATTTGAGATAAATGAGGCTGGTGCTTGGTGGAGTGCTTATTCGGATATTCATCTCACAATATCATTAATTAATGATAGTGTATATGGAGGAGAGCCGGTGGTCCTTGAACGTGCTGATTATCGAGGGCGCAAAGTCTCATGGCCAACGGTTTTTAACTATAACATTGTGCCGCGACCTCGACATTGATAGATAACAAGCTTAAGATAGCAATGATTGGGGCTGCGACTGACAAACACAATTGTCGCGACGCGCTACTACAAGGTAAGCATTAGCATTTTGTACGCCCAAGCGATCTCATTTAAGGACAAATAGATTAAATAGAGACGTCT